TTTCTACCGTATTTATCGCACATTCCTACTGTATGATGGGGTTCGTTCTCAGCTACCAATATACCAAATTTCAGCTGCGTAGCTCTAAAAATGCCTGAATTATCGTAATTTTAACCTTTTAGCTATGGTGATCATCTTAGATTTTTTAATTTGTATTCAGTGTGTGATGGGTAATGTTCTCAGCTATAACCTCACCAAATTTCAGCTCTGCGTGTGTAAAAATAGCTGATTTAGAGGCATTTAAATGTAGCTTTGGTGGCCATATTGAATGTTTAGATTTGAATTCAGTATTTAATGGGCATTGCTCTACCAACACACCAAGTTTTAGCTGAATATCTAAAAATGGATGATTTAGAGTATTTTTCCTTTTTAGCTCACATGGCCATCTTGGATTTTTGATTGCAGTCAGTCTATTAGGAATCGCTCTCAGCTACTAGTACACCAAATTTCAGCTTAATAGCTCTAAAAACTGCTGTGTTATAACCAACAAAGTCCATGCTGTGTTATAATTTTTCCCTTTTAGCTAAGGCAGCCATCTTGGATATTTGATATGCATTATGAAAGTATAGGACAACTCACTCTCATCAACGACCATACTAGATTTCATCTCAATATCACAAAAAATGAATGAGTTATAGTAAATTTAGTGTTTGCTTAGGTAGCTGTGGCAGCCATCTTGAACCAAAATGGCTCCAAACGTTAATCAGTTCTAGAGATACATCTGACGATTAATCCAACAAGCTGTTTCACTAGAGATGTTGCCAACAGACAGACCATCTAAGTTTACATGTATTTTTAAATGTGTGTTGCTGAGGTCAGGTCAGAGGTGAGTGCGTGCATGCGTGGGTACATACATGTGTCTTGGGGGGGCACAGTAACACGGACCAGGAAGATGAGACAAAATCTTGCTTCAAACAAACATGTGCTGTGTAAATACTATAAGGTATTTTGAATAAATTCTTGAAGTGTGAGTAAGAGAAGAGATTGGTTCTATATTTAAAAACTGTCCAGATGACCTGACTGAGAATTATTGGATACGGTACCTGGATGACTGAGCATGAACTTTGTTCACACTCACATCTCCAAATAACATCTCCATTGTTTTCTTTTTTGCTCAGCAGCTAAGTTGCTCTTGGTTTTAAACTCCCGCCCACCTGGAGAAGCAGGAAGCGGGGGGAGCGCACG